GGTCGACTTGGCCGGCCCGGGCCGGGTATATGGTGCTAGTTTTGGGCCACAAGCCCGCAAAAATGATTCATAACATTCATGTCATTGCTAAATAGAATATAACCATGATTCGTGGCTCCTACTAACACGTAAATAATTATAAGGTATCTGACATCTGTATTCTGTATGTGCAGTGGTGGACTGGAGCAATAAATTGGGGTAGAATTCCCCTTAGAATATGTCATTATATAGTAGCTAATAGCATTGAGCATATATTAATTACTCAATGCTAAATACTAATAGGTAATATAGGGTATCCCTCTACATATTATATTTTATATACCTATGTATTAATTAGTCATTGTTATTTTTCAAAAAAAATGTGTTATTTATGCCTAAAGTAACCACAGTTATCAGTTATCACAGATAACTAACTAGTTTGTATATAATTGTGTAAGATGTAAGAAGACTGTTTGTACTGAGATAAAAATGTAATTGTTAGCGAGTGGTTTTTTTTTTTAAATTATAGCCTATGGGCCGGTCAAAATTTTTGCCCCCCCCCTTTCAAAACCTGAAATGACGCCACTGCGCAGGCCCCATTTTTATGTGCACCATCACGAATGTACAAGTGTGCAATGTGCATTACGATTAGAAAGTTTGTGCATATATGGCCTACAAGACAAAAATTAAATAATATGCCAGCTACTAGGAAATGTCTGGAAATATGAGTATTTCTTAAATGTTGTTGTTTTATTTAATTACATTGTTAAGTTATCGTGTATATACGTGTAAATATGTAATACATTGCTTTTTCTAAGACAGTAGCGAGAATAAAATTTCCGTTTAAAGCAATATAATTAAGCATGGGCGGATAGGCCTACCGGGCTACCGGGCATTTCCCGATGGGCCTCCTTTCGTATTTCGGTAATGAGACCCTTTAATATCATATGTTAAATTTTTTTTCATGTGGGGGCTCCTTTTTAAAATTATCCGGTARTCCAAAAATGGCCTATCCGCCCATGTAATTAAGTCCGAAATTTTACAAATAATACATATAGGACCTGGTCACCAGGAGTATAGTGTACAAAATATGTTGTACAATATATAGACAAAACAGCTAATCAATTACATTTATGTTTGATAATTGATTTTATACCGTAGGTATACAGGCCCGGATTGAAGCAACGAGCTTCCGAGAAAATCTAGCTGAGCCGATCATAAATGTTTGGGCAATTATCTAATAATACAAATTTAAATACATTTATTTACCTCAGTGCGCTGCGTAAAATCTAGGTCAATCAAGAAATGTGCATTTGAAAATTGGACTTTGGGGAACGGTTAAAAAACTAAAACTAGGTGGSCCGATACCTTGTCTATCCGGCACTGCGTAGGCACATTTCCTATTGCTATTAAATATGATTCATCGATTGACAGTTGTTGTTGCAACAACATCTAAAAACGCGTAATAAACGATTCAGCCCTGCAAAATCAATAATTTTTACTTTTAGTTTTTAATTGAAACAGTATTTGGTATTTATAATCTTACATTARTAACCATATTACCGATTTTTAGTGGAATTCCAGAACCTAAGTATTCGGAAACTGTTTCTTCCAGGCTCACATTTCACCAAGTAGGTATGTATGTTTCCTATCCATCRATGATACCACTCTTTTTTTGCGGTATTGACGCGATTCAGGGCATAAGAATCGGAATACAACAATAAAAAATTATATTTATTATAAATATCTATAGGTATGTATAATATGTATAAATAAAATATACCAATCAAAYAAAGCGTATAAAAAATGATTTAGTTACAGCATTTCGACTATAGGTATAGGTAACTGATGACTGGTCTTCCRCCTTATTAGAGGGTGTAACTTCGTGTAAGCTTATTCGCGCCATTTGTATAATTTACCTACTTATAATCATTATATTTGTTTCTGATTCAAAATAGTTTGGTAGGTACTTCTATATTTTTTTAATTTCTTTAATTTCTTTTGGACCAACGAGAATGATATAAAGTACCTACCTACCACTTATCGTTGGTTTTTCATAGTTATATCGACAAAGCAGGTATAGGTGCATATACGCCGATCGTGTCTATATTTTTTTCACCAACCAAAATAATCGTGGAGAGAAAAATGTTTATATCAAAATAATATCTAGCTAGACACAAGCTTAAGCAGTAAAGCATCACATCATATCTCTTGAAAGTTAAGAAACCGATAGGTAAAGCTGAAGTGTGTTAATTAGTTGGTTGTCTAAGAATTATTAATGAATTAAAATGTTTCACTCAGGTCTCTGAGTTAAACATAGAAAATAATCAAAATATACACTTCTACTATTGGGGTAGGTACCTACCTAAATAAATGCCTATGCGGACGATGGGCTAAAAAACTCACAGAACTTGAAGCCACTGTAGGAGAGGACGTCACGTCAGAGACGATCATACCTATCATGCTAAATAAAAATGGGCAGCAGTTGAACGGTATGTCAAGAAATTACTGATTACCAAGGAGGAGGAGGAGTTGTAAAGACACACCAACGCACCATAGTACGAGACTACAAAGGCGGCGGGCTGGCTAGCCAGCCTGTGAAAAAGACAACCATCACCCGAACAAACCAAATATATGTGATATTGTAAATTGTAAATAGCTATTACTTTATTAGCATGAATCCAAAAGCTAGATAGCTAAGAAAGCTTGTACTGTATACACCGCAATTGTAACCCGCAGTTTATTGTGAGGTGACAAGCGCATGATGTTAATATTAAAATTGTAATTATAATTATTTCATACCAATAAATGATGGCGGACCGGCGAGAATGCAGAGCAGAGGCAGTACTCCCCCCGTTCGAMGATACCAAGATAAAAAAATATAAAAATAAATAAATAGCTATAATAGTACAGTAGTACTTACCTATAAACTACWTTGGTTTATGAAGGTCAGTTTTGAATATATATACAAGTATATTATTTCCAATAATATGCTTCAAACTTTAAAAGATCATTTAACTGCATGAAACACATTGTATAGTTATTAAATATTATTACATTACAATAAAAACTACATTTCAATATAATGACCGGGGACAATTAAATTGAATTTATGTAATAATGAAATAGGTTTGATACGAATATTGTTGCTCTTCATTAAACATAATTATAAAGTAAAAAACAACCAAATATTTCATAAGTACACGTTTCTTTTGTTTAGCTACAATTTTATAATTATAGGTAATTGCAGACTGCATGCTATACGACAGACATAGTTATCCTAATAAATTATGTAGATATYAATGTATTRTAATTTATATGGCACCAATATACTTCATTTTTAGGGTATATAAAACTTTCTGAGTACTCCTTYCTAAGACCTGTTTGTAAAAAAATCATTCTTCTCGCTTTCTCACACACCTTACCATAATGAAACTGGTCTCATTTGGCATGACGACTAGTAGGAAGAATTTGCTGTATACCAGTATACTGTATAGGTATGTTCTCTTAGTGTCAAAAGTATGGAAAAGCTTAAAAGGTCAATTACAAATCTATTAAGATTACACCATAGGCGTTCGCAGGACATTTTTGCTGAGGGTGCATAGTACAAACAGATTGAACATTTTAGTATGTTACCTAGCCACATAACAAGTCAGGCCAGGATTAATAAAAAAAAAAAAAAAATTAATAATAATTTTAATAATTGTATTTCTCTTAAAAGTTAATGTTAGTTACCTATGTWAATAATAATTTTAAATTATAATTCAAGATAACGWGTCTATATAGCTACTATCTATCGACTATCACGCTGCAATAACAGAAAACGATTGTTGATTTTAATCGTGTTTCGTACAGTGTAGATTCGTATATATAAGCACTAATAGCACWCATCGTGTGACYGCGGGTTTGAAAAAAATTATAACTTAAAAAGTATTATTTATCTATCTTTCTATTTCTAAGCTGAACTTGCTGGAGGTGCAGTTTCTTACCCTGCACCCTCTGTGTGCACATATATGGATTACACTCCTGTTCTTAGATAATATTCTTTGACATCCAYAACAAGTCATTCCTATTGTAAACCGCCATTTTTGAAATACAAACAATTTATGATCTATTATTTAATATTATAAGCAAAATTATATTAAATATTTATAAGATAACTATCATTACTACAAAAAA